TACCGTTGGGTCTCTGTGTCCATGTCTGGGAGTTTGTTTTTTTCCAACTCCGCATTAGACGCCACGGAGTGCAAAATAGACGCCACGCGTCCATAGCACGCCCCTCCCCAAAAAAAGGCACACGCATCACGATCGTTTGAGTGATTGGAACCAGCTTAGCGAAACGGTTGTTCCACATTAGTGACTTGTAGCTTCTTGTTACTACTAGTAAGGCACTTGTTACTAGTAGCGATGCACTTGTTCCTAATAGCATCTTGTTACTAGCATTGTTCGAACATTTCCACGGTCTTTTCGGTGACAGTGCGGAAGCATCGAAGACACCATCGGCTCCCTTGGGGGTTGAGAATTCCACGTACGGTGGAGTGTTCTCAAAAGCAAAGTGCTCTACTAGTAGCGTCCTTGCTCCGTTCGTAGCGATGCCAGGAGCCCCGTTCGTAGCTTCTTGCTCCTCGTAGCGATGCCCTTTGCTCCTAGTAGCGCAAAGTGTTCTCCCGATTCTGAAGTGACGAACCAACGCCATGTTACTAGGGGCTCCTGGCATCGCTACTAGGAGCAAGGACGCTACTAGGGGCTGCGGGCCGTACTGCTAGGAGCATTCTTGCTAGTAGTAACAAGAAGCTACTAGGGGCTCCTGGTGAATATGGGAGTTCGTTACGCAATTTCAACAACAGCTACATTTGACTCTCTGACTTGGTCATCGTGCACTCCATCGTGAATGCCAGGTACTGAGAGACTGAGAGTTTCCTGAATGTTTTTGTGTTTGCCTTGTGACTTGTGCTTCAATCACGGGGAAATTTCAATGCTGTTTTGGGTGAACCCACCTACGTGGACGCCTCATGTGCAGCTGTCACACGATTTTTTCCATCCGTGCCTATGCTTTTCTCAACCCCATTGTATAGTGTTGTCCCCACTGCATGTGAACGTCTCATGTACAAGCCACCGTAGTATTCGATCATCTACCTTTTACTGGCATTCTTGACATTGTTTCCACAAACGTTTTTTAAGTACAGTTTCTATAGGTTGATTCATAACTGATATCCCAGTCGCAATTCGACATCCAGATAAGAAGAAGGTTATGTCCTGCTGCCAACTGCAAACTTTGATGGATCACTTTGGAGATGTATTGTTGAAGCACCTAGTGGAGAGACACCTGGGAGACACACGAAGAGAGGTTGCTGTGTGTGCAGTTTTTCCATTCGATCTGCGACAGCACCCGTTGGCACTGGTGGTTCATAAGGCTTTTTCCTCAGGTGTTCTTTTTTGAAGCCTCTTGCCATGGCTCGTGGTGCAGTGGTGGGTGTGCTTCTTGCAGCAGCTGCCTTCGGAAGCTGCTTCCTTGGTGGGGTGCCCACGCAGCCGCCGCGTGCGCCAACAACCCCAAACCATGCGGACTCCTTGGCAGCACCATTGCAGACTGAGAACAGCGAGAGCAGCTACTCTTGGGCTGCGCCTCTCTTGAGCTTCGGCGCTGCTTTGGGTGTGATTTTCGGTCTTGTGGCAGCCCAGCCTGCAAAGGCTATCACTGCTGAGCAGTTCAGCCAGCTAACTTACAACCAGGTGAGGGGCTCTGGCTTGGCCAACCGCTGCCCCACTGTGGAATCCAACGGCTCTGAGGTGCCTGTGAAAGCTGGCTCCAAGCTGATCAACGTGTGCTTCGAGCCCAAGTCCTTTGCTGTTGAGATCGACACTGACAACGGCAAAGAGTTTGCCACAACCAAGCTGACCACACGTCAGACCTACACACTGGCTTTCGTCGAGGGCACTTTGGATCCCAACCCAATCACCTTCAAGGAGCAGGATGGCATGGACTTCGCAGCTACCACGGTGAAGCTTCCAGATGGTGAGTACGTCCCTTTCCTCTTCACTGTGAAGGAGTTGGTGGCCAAGGGTGAGGGCAGTTCCTTCAAGCCTGGCTTCACATGGGGTGGTGAGTTCAGCGTGCCTTCCTACCGCACTGG